TTCAAAATGACATTCATCATGTCAGTGACTGGTACTCTTACATCTCCATGAGTATTAATATCAACAGAACGCGTGTTATGTCGTACTCAAGGAAGACTAATGTCCTGCTCTATGGGTATCAGCTTTGTCATACTGCTATTACACGCACTGGTTGCGTTAAGGACCTAGGTGTTGTCTTTGATACTAAATTGTATTTTCACAATCATGTTGATTTTTCATATTCCGAATGTATAAAGCTGCTAGGTCTTATACGCTCAATAACTTTTAGATTTTCTTCTCTAGACTGTTTATATGTGCTATATCTTACACTAGTCAGGTCCAAGTTGGAATATGCCTCGGTAGCTTGGAATTCTATCATGTCTACTGACTCCGCAAAACTTGAGCGCATCCAGAAAAAGTTTGCATCTGTCTGTTTCTATCGCTACTTCCCACATAGCTCCTATAGTTATACATCTGCCTTAGAGAGACTAAGATTGCACCCTCTAAGTCTGCGTAGACATCTTCTTGATGCACTCTTCTTCATTCAGGTTTATCGTGGCCTTAAATCCTGCTCCTCCCTTCTGGATAATGCTAGTCTTCGTGTTCCTACTTGCCATGTTCGAGACTTCTCTACTTTTAGCGTTCGTCCCTCAAAAAGACACTGTCCCTCTTCTCGGTGCGCCCTTGCTACCAACGCGGTGGGTAAAGACCTCGACATATTTGCACACGGAGCGGTTTCTCTGAATCATATTTTACAAGCATGTACCAAACCTTTTACAGTGTTACTGGATTAGTGTTCTCATTAACTACAAAAGTGTATACCTCGGCTAACTTTAATTTTCTTATCTAATTGGTATTAATTTATTAGACTTCTTATTAATTTTATGCTATCACTCCCAGTTGTCTTATCTTAGTATCTAGTTGGTAATAATTCATTCATAATAATTAATAATTCATAAATGTATGTATATATTTAAGCTTTCTTTAGATTTATGCTCACTGATTTATTTCTGTCATATTTGTATTGTGTTTATTTATTTTTCTGTATCTTTCTATACTCGTGCTAACTTTGTAATTTGCCACTGTGTTGTTAAGTTATTGCACGTAAATAAACATGAATTGAATTGAAAAGCAATATGGTTCTATAGTTTATCTGCTTATAGTTAGAAGCACAAGACAACTTACCCTGTTACTGTTACTGCGATGAATAACCATCTCTATAAAATGGCATGAAAAATGAAATGAAAAAAAAAAGAAAGAAAGAAATCTGACACGGCACACTAATCTGTAGAAGGTCCTGTATCCATCGTATTTATACAGTCACTAATATAAAGTATATTACCCTCACCTTTTACATATCCCCTCCAGCCTCTACGTTTTACGAGGTTGCAAAAAGAAAAATAAAAGCGTAGCGATATTTTGAAGAATATCGTTTTGACAAGTTGCACTCACAGACAGATGAAATTCACGCTACGATAATGAGTTCCAACAGCAATGAAAGTAAGACAATTCCCCCTTCTATATTTTAGCCTCTCTCCAGCCTTCATACATTCTTACATACTACCCGTGTTCCAAAATAAGTGAAAGTGAAGAAGAGCACTGAATTGGTTCCAGGAGTGGGGGCAGACAGGTGTTATAATGGATGTATAGTGTTCCTAAGTGAGGTAATTTATATTGATATTTGTGGCTAAGGTTATCATTTTCTTCGTCTTTTTTATTTCATGGTATAGGCAATCAAGTGTGTTCCATTTTTTCATTTCATAATAATAATAACTTTAATTAAAGTTTTTAAGTTTATAATACCAATATCTGTCGTTTGAGACTGTAATGGAATTTTCTAGCAGAACCCTTATTTTCATTCTGGGTTCCACGGAATACAATTGGGAAACAATGCAATAAACCAACAATTTTCTACGACACTTACATAATATGTTTCAGGTTTTATGACCGAAATATATTTGGAAATTGTGCTATAAATAAATAGGATTGATCTTCTTGTGGAGGTATAGCTCCTGTGTTTCTTAAATTTGTCACTAGATGGAGGTGAGTAGCCAACTTCATGCCTAGTCTCTATACTGAATGAGCTACCTGACTTATTTCATGCTATAAATCCAAACGTGTAGAACTCAAGTAGGCTCTTTGGGCCCAGAGAACATGGTTCCTTATAATAATCATGTCATATTCGTAGTTGTTTAACGAATAGAAATGAAATTCTTAAAACTGTAAGTGCACGGACGAAGACAAGAATCCTTCTCACGATGGAAAAGTAATGATGATGTCATCATTCCTGAGGCAAGAGAGCCCGTTTGTGACATGACTTGCATCTGCTTTACCCACTTTTCTATGTGGTCCGCTGATGATTCTAATGCAAATATATCCTATACATACCAATATCGCTACCTACTCTGTTTTCCTACTTGAATCAACGGTCGTGACGATGGCTAAAACAGCCAGGCAGACTTGGGATGTGAGGTTATGGTTACTCCTGCCTGGTCGCTCTTCAGAAATGTCCTGGGTGTTGCGCAAAATATTTTTTTTTGCGCCCCCCCCCCCCGTGAAGGACAGACTTCTACACGTGGTAGTGTGTGTAATATATGTAAGAGTAGTCCCTGGGCTTAATTAATTAAGCACTACGCCTTGAAGATATGTGGGGGAGCGGATGTTTAGATCCACATATTCTTGACCTCGGAACTANTTCGATTCCCGATGAGGATATTGGATTTCCAATTTGACCTAATCCTTCCAGACGCACTATGGCCCTGAGTTCGACACAGCCTCGAACAGCAAGGAGTACCAGGATTCTTCCTGAGGGTAATGGGCGGCCGGCGTGTGAGGCTGACAACCTCACCATTTGTGAGCAGACTGTCTAGCAAATGTGGGAGCCTCGACGTATCACAATCCCATGGGACTCCACCCTAAATTTATTATTATTATTATTATTATTATTATGTGTTGCGGATTTTAAAGCATTAAGTAAGAAATAAAAAGACTTTCCCACCAATATCGTATATGAGGCCGCGCCATAGCTCAAGCGGTTAGTCGCTTGCTTCCCACTGCGGCCGCCCGGCTTCGAACCTGGGTCTGGTCATGTGGGATTTGTGGTGGGCAAAGTGGCGCAGGGGCAGGTTTTCTCCGAGTACTTCGGTTTCCCTGCCAATCTTCATTCCACCAAATTCTCCATCATTCTATTCACCCGAGGCAAGTACGTGTACAATAGGCTAATCAGTGGCCGACGTGCCGAGTGGTCCCAGCTGGACTCCACCCCCACTATGCGAATTAAAAGAAAAATATATCGTATATGCATTCCTCTTCTCTCCCATTCGTGTTACATGCCCTTCCCATCTCATACTCCTTGACTTGATCATTCTAATTATATTTGGAGAAGAGTACAAGTTTTCTGAGGAAAGAAATTAACTTTAAAATATGACGAATACTTAAGTTGATTTCACCTCTCATCTGAACACGCAGCTCCTGGAAGACAAGGTTCTCCCCACAAAAGGTAATTTTCCAAGGTTCACATCTCTGCTTAATTTGAACGTGACTTTTGAAATTCTGTAAGTGTACGATTTTATCACAAAATTATGTAGGCAGCAAACAGAATTCATGAAAAATGATGAAAATGAAAATGTTCAGAACATGGGACAATGCGATGCCTGATACAGAAAATACAAGAGGCTTAAACTTGGCGGCGGTCAATGTTACGACCGTTCAAGTGACTTAAGTTACCGTTGAAGCGCGAGCTAAGTAAAATAAAGAATCATCTGGTGTAGAATAGCTTGAATTTCTGAGGCCTTGCATGTATTGTATAATTGTAAGCAAATTAGATTATGAACACTGGACGAGGTTCAAGCCAGGGAAGAAAGACTGACTTATCCTCTCGTCACGAATGTTGGCCCAAGACAATTACGGGTATGAAGGTAAAGTTGTCGCTGTATTTAATTAATTAAAAACTACGCCATGAAAACATATGGGGGCGTGAAGGTACAGCTCCATTCTTGTCGTCAGCACTAGATGGAGATGAGCGGTCAGCTTCACGCCCCGACAGTTTTATTTCCGAGGAAGGAGACTCCGGTGTCCATTGGGTTAAAGGATGGATGGGCCCCATTGCCAAGCTGGACGTTACTGAGGAGAGAAAAATTTCTTGTCCCTGCCGGTAATCGAACCCTGGTCGTCCAGTCCGTAACTCGCCGATGTACCGTCTCCACAATCACGACTATAATAGTCCAATTTCTGACTAGGAGGAACTAATGGCCCCAAGAGAGGATTGCCGCAAGGAAGGACGGACTTAAGACAATTGTCTTTCTCAAAGTAAATATGACTCATACTTTTCAAAGGGTTAAAGCACACCGCGCAAGCATAGTGTTTCCTAAACATCTGCATTGCCTGACACAACCTCCTTGACGTCATTCAGGACACTGGAGCGCTGTAGAAATTAGCAACGTGTAATGCAAGGCAAACTGTTTCTCACCCCACTTAACGAAGCTAGGAACATCAGTTCTTCACTGCCACAAACTATGATGATGATGATGATGATGATGATGATGATGATGTATGATTGTGTAACGTGTTTGACCTAGTTTGTACACGCATTGCTTCTGTTCCAATGCGGCACAAGGTTGGGATTTCACGTTCATTGGGGACAGAGGTGTACAAACGTACTTCAGTCAGATACCAAATTCTTCTGTGTGCGTTTGATTTTACTATTTCTCAACTGCTGAGGCCATCTTACGTCAGATTTGAAGATGAGTTTTCAATGATGAATCAGAGAAGACGTGGAAGGAAGTGACGGTGATATACAAGGAAGAGTCAGTAAATAGGTCACAATGGATACGTTACGGGGGTTCTGTCTCTCTCTCTCTCTCTCTGTGGCTTTACAGCCCTTTGGACCTTGGCCGCTTTTTCACTTTCTTAATCCTTTACACAGTCGGTAGGACTCCTTGGACGGGGGATTAGCCCGCCGCAAGGCCGTTACCTACACACAGAATAAAGGCACACAGGCATCCATTCCTAGAGTGGGATTCGAAACCACGATCCCAATATTCGAGCGGGCGAAGGAGGTTCATGCCTTAGACTGAGCGGCAACTGTGACTGGATATGGGTTTTTACATTCTAATATTTCGTAAGCGAATATCTGTAAAACACATGTTTTCTTTATGCAAATGAATGTATTTTAGGTACGGTTTGATAAGCTTGAATGTATCCACAGAACGAAATGAGTGTGATAGATACATCCAAATGTTTCATGATGACAATAACAATAACATTAGTATTATAATTTTATTAACCTTATTATATTAACCTTATTAGAGATGAAGCGACAGGCGGTTGGGCAACACTGCTTAATGAGGAGCTTCATAATTTGTACCCTTCGCTAAGTACAATTAGAAAGATCAAGCCAAGGAGGATGAAATTGGCAAGACATGTAGTACGAATGGAGGAGAAGATGAATGCATATAGGACAGTGTTGATGGAGTGATATCGATCGGATTGATATGACTCACGACATGGACCAGTGGAGGGCTTTTGTGAACACGGTATTGAACCTTCAGGTTCCATAAAACATTGGGAAGTTCTTGAGTAGCTGCACAACTGGCGGCTTCTCAAGAAGGGTTCAGCTCCATGGAGTTATTTAGTTATTAATTCTATTAACGTTATATCCAATTGTTGTATGGACCAATCTCCATACCTTAATCATATATACAAAACTGGATACAAAGAACAGAGACAATTGTAATGTGTTGTCTGGTAACGTAAGGGCAAAGGTGAAGTTGTCGCTGTATTTAATTAAATAAACACTATCCCATGAAGACGTATGGGAGAGCGGATGTATAGCTCGACCATTCTTGACCTCGGCACTAGATGGATGTGAGTGGCCAGCTTTACGCCCTGGCCGCTTTACCTCTGGGGAAAGAGCATCTTGTATTCACTGGATAGGAAGTTGGGTGGGCCCCAGAACCGGTCTGTGTTCTGTGGAGAATAGAAAAATTTTTCACTGCCGGAAATCGAACTCTGGCCGTCCATTCCCTAGCAAGATGCTGTGTTGACAGCTATCCCGGCTCCCTATCTATTTTCTCGTAAGTTAACTATTTCCTTTCTGGTCCACTGAAGATTCACACTCAATGCAGTAAAAGTAAAAAGTAAAGCTATCCCTGTACCAGGCCGTGAAAGCCCATAGGGTTGTGAGATGTTGGGGGTCCCACACTATCTTAGACAATCGGCTCAAAGATGGCGGTAAGGTTGTCAGCCTTACGCGACGGCCGCGCTTTAGGGCGCATGTCCACGTCAAGAATTCCTGCCGGAACAATTCCGCCGGCCGGCAGACAAAACCGGTTGGCCTTGTCCACGGAGACGGCAAGCGCGCGGAAAATGTTTCACTCGAGTCGAGGTGAGTCTGTGCACGGGTGCAGTAGAATGGATAATACGGATGTATGCACCCTCATTGCACTATATTATTTTTACAAAAAGAAACAGCGACGACGCAGAAGGTACTGGGTGCATCCTGTGTTGCAAGACCGATTTTAATTTGGTGCATTTAGTACGCTGTTTGAAAAACTACGACAGGACGACGCAAAGAATGTTATTTTTTTTAGAATGTCAAAAGAAACATTTGACAAGTTACTGACAATTTTATCTCCCAGTGTTTCAAAATCTTCTTCAAGGTGTGGGCATACATCCTTCCAAGCTTGCAAAGTTAGCCGCCTGTCTTTGTACTCTTCACTTGACTTATCCCACAGTACTGGTCTTTCCTCGACAAGGGTAATTAATAATTCACAGTCAATATTGAATTCTGCGCTCATTGTAACGAAAAGAATACTACAGACACAAAACACGTGAAACTTGCACGCTCAAGACCAACTGATTACTGACGACGAGCTCGCCTGCTCGTGGACAGGTAGACATGTTAATGCATGTCCCACTGAGAACACGGTGCACCGTCCGGCTGCCTCCTCTACAATGGGAATCCGGTGCAGCGTCCGGTAGATTTGCCGTGATGGCTCGTGGAAAAAGTCTCATATGAAACAATGCATCACTACCAACCCGGTAAATCTACCGGAACGGCGAACGGCGAAAATTCTTGTCGTGGACAAGGGCCCTTACTCCCCAGGAAAATTATTTAATTAATTCCTGGTACTCATTTCTGTTAGAGGCTGAGTGAACCCCAGGCCCATAGTGCGGCTGGAAGGATTAGGTAAACTGAGAAAAATTCAATGACCTCATCGGGACTTGAACCCGAGACGTGTGAAGTGATATTGGTCTGTGGGAACTGCCCACATTCAAGCAAGTGTGACATGCGAGCTTCATTGCTTAGCAAAGACGAGTAAACAGCGTTTGCTAGGCAAAGCCTGCAATACGGACAGTGACATGTATTCTATATGTCCGACTCTAGGTTACATAAGAAGATACATTGAGTGGAAGTTACAGTTACAGTTCTAGATTTCTACAGTTCTACAATTCTAGTTCAGTGTTCAAGGAGTTCACTATTGTTATTCTTCAATTCTTCAAACTCAAGTTCGTCCGTGTATACTGTGCAACTGTAATAAATACTATAGGACAGTTCAACTAGTGGTTGTCTCTTCATATAATGACATCCCACAGGTCAGAAGCATTTCAAAAAACGTAGTAAGAACCGCTGCAGTACAAGAGATCAGGATGGTAAAATTATTTGTTATGTGAATTCTGGCTTTGGCATACGCTTAGGCTAATATTGTGGATAGTAGCTATCCTTTCTACCGACTGAGCTCTCGGCTGTGAATTCAGTTATTTAGCAGCGTTAGCCCAAACGGCCTGAACGCTGGAAATTGATGGCAGCATAATACATCGTGACATCACTGCGGCCAAGTTGGCAGACAATGACATTGAGTTGCACGAGGTTGTAGAGATTGTATTTGTCGTGTTTTTTCTGGTAACCGGGTTAGAACTTTGTGGACGTTTATGAACGTTTATGAAGGTGTTGAAGTGTTGAACGGCGTAGGATCTGTTGTGTATCAATTTAAGAGGGGTGTATGAAGTGTTGTGGTGTGCTGTTAAATAACAGTTCAGTATTCATATAAGGCGTATTCGTCGAAACAGTTCTTTAGGAAGTTACATTACTGTGGGATTCTTTATTGCAATGGTAAGTAGAGATTATGCGTGTTTAGTAAATGTACGAATTGAAATGCAGTGATAGGACATAACTAGCATAAGTTTAGTTGCAGTTACATAGGATTATGTAAAGTAATTGTATCATTTTGCTTGGTTTCCACAGGCTCGAAATGCTGAGAAGGCAATGTAAGTAAATGAAAATTAATTTATATAGTAGGAATTGAGAGTAGGACAAATGTGCATTCCAATTTAAATGTATTCGTACATTCCTATTATCAATAATAAAACGGGAGTAAAGTAAAATGTGGTTCCTGTGCGTATGGGGGAGTGGATATATAGATCCACATTTTCTTAACCTTGGCACTAGCTGGAAGTGAGTTGTCAGCTTCACACCCCTGCCGCTTTACCTCTGGGAAAAGAGCCACAGGTATCCATTGGATAGGAGGATAGGTGTGCCCCAGAGCCAGTCTGAAAGACATGAAGAAGAGAAAATTCTTGACCCCACTAGGACTCAAACTCCGGCTTCTTGATCGTCCAGCCCAGACCCAATCGCTATACCGACTATACTATCCTGGCTCTTCACTTAATGTTGAGTGTCTATTTGGTCGTACTGGTTTCAGGACAACTTTAGCTCGATGGAGGGCAGCCCAAGTTAGTGATACAGTAAAAGAAAGGGAGAGGAGACCGTATCTTGCATCTGAATGTCATGATTTACCTAAAGCTGAGAAGTGGAGAATGCAGATTATTCGAGAAATAGCCAAGAAAGTGGCTCAGATTCAGAATGGTATGCTGTCAAGATATTTGTATATTACTATAGCAGCAGTAGCAGGTAAAGCTTTCGCAATGGTTAACTGTTTATGTTATTTCACTTCTTGAGTGGTTCCACCTAGCAGTTGTGGGCAAGATTTCTGACATTTTGGAGTTATTTTGGGTTAGAATTTGTGAGGAGGCAGCATGTATCTGCAAAATGTCCGCAGTATGACCCACTTGCTCACAGTGCAACTGCCAAAGAACTGAACTAATGTGAACGATAGTGATCATGTATTATCATACAATGAATCACCTGTGTGAAAATAGATTGATGTAAGACTGATATATTTTGATACTTATTTAAGTATGAAATTCTAAAAAAATCTGTATTTGTTTGTCATAATCATGTAAATGTGATGTATATTTATGATACAGTGGCCAGTGGCTTATGCCTCAGTTACCCACAGAAGTCTTGTGGTTAGAAGCTTTCGCAACATACGTCTATAGTTGTGCGAATGAAGTTAAATTGAATTTTATTTTATGTGTTTGAATGCATTTTCCTGTGTGTTCAACACCTCTGAATTTGTTGTTGGGTTAATTTATACACTGTGATCATCCAAGGGTTATCTGAAAATCTTTCAGGCATTCAGGCAGGAGAGAGAAGCTGCTTGTGTCAGTTTAGGCCAACATTTAATGGACTCAGCAAACCAAAAGTCTGCACATATTATGGTTAACTTTAGTATTGCTCCAGTAACCCACTGAAGAGCTGCTGTGAAGCAAGCTTGTGCATTATGTGCCATCTGTTCATTGCTGTCTTGGCAGTTGCAGAAGTAGTTTTTGTATTGGTTAGGGCTGATGTTTTTGAAACACAAGTTTCCTGTGGAAGGCTTCTAAGGGATTTTCAAAAAGAATGTTAAGCTTAGCACCTGTTTCATCCAATTTTCTTCAGTGAATGCTTATATATTTTGATTCTTTTTCTTCTTGTCCATTAACAACTGTGTTTTAAATTATTAAAAGTTATATGACTGATTAGTGTAATGCTGGCTACCATTCATTCCAGAACCTTTTGTCTTCTTGTCTGCTGTGTAAAAGCATAAAAAGTAGAATATACAAAACTATAATTTTGCCTGTTGTTCTGTATGGGTGTGAAATTTGGTCTCTGACTTTAAGGGAGGAACATAGACTGAGGGTGTTGAGGAGAATATTTGGACCAAAGAGAGATGAAGTGATAGGAGGTTGGAGAAAACTGCATAATGAGGAGCTTCATAACTTGTACTCTTCTCCAAGAATAATTAGAATGATCAAGTCAAGGAGGAGGTGGGCAGGGGATGTAGCACGAATGAGGGAGAAGAGGAATGCATATGGGATATTGGTGGGAAAGCCAGAAGGAAAGAGACCACTGGGAAGACCAAGGCGTAGGTTGGTGAACAATATTAAAATGGATCTTGAAGAGATAGGATGTGATGGTATGGATTGGATTGATCTGGCTCAGGATAGGGACCAGTTAGGATGTGATGGTATGGATTGGATTGATCTGGCTCAGGATAGGGACCAGTGGAGGGTTCTTGTGAACATGGTAATGAACCTTCGAGTTCCATATTATGCAGGGAAGTTCTTGAGTAGCTGCACAATTGGCAGCTTCTGCAGAAGGTCTTGGCTCCATGAGTGTGTGAGTGAGTGAGTGAGTGAGAGTGAATGTATGACTGATTATATATTGTCTTCACATTTTTGCATGTCTATAATGAAAAGTTGCAAAAAAGAAAATGCCCACCAGCTTCCTTTTGTCTGTCCACAAGTTAGAACTCAAGAATTGTTGACAAGATTTTCATGACATCAGATATTGGAGAGGTTTGCTACAATTTGTTTACCTATTGTAATTTTGTTTAAAACTAGACAGCAGTAATAAACACTACATGAATACCAGTATATGTTCCTGCACTTAACATGCTCTTTGGCAGAGTGGAAACTGTTTTGGGCGGGCAGAGTGAGTCAAACCCACATTTTATGTCCAATATGCCTCTCAAGAAAGTAATACTCTTTCTAAGAAAATCAAACAAAATGGGGGGTACATGCCAGAATTGTTACAAAATGTGTACATTTCATAACTTGTTTTGTTGATACATGCAGTGCATGTAAGCAGCTGGAATTTTGCAGAGAAGCATTACTCAACAAGTGCTATTAATGTGCAGAATTTGAAATGGAGTTTCAACACGATTACTTGAGTTGTTCCCTTATATATGTGACACATCTGAATGGTTGCCTCAGGATAGATATTGTAAGTTTCCGTAATATTTGTTTTCCTTTCCCTTTTAGAGCCTTGTTAGAATACCTCCACCATAGCCCCACAAATTGTAGAAGGGGATGAAAAGGGAATGAGGTGCCAGGGGTTATAAGTTGGCCATTCTTCTCACTGGAGGACATAAATACAGAGACCTGATCCTCCAGGTTGGGCATTGGATGCAGACTGATGACAGTACTCTTTAAAAAAATATATTGTTGCAAAATCCAAAGAATTGGAAACCAGATGGTCTAATTCACAATGGATTGAAAAAATCTGGCAGAATCTTCAGAGGAACGCTATAGCTCAAAATGTGCTCTTTTGCCAGTGACGACAACAATTATGATGATTTGGTTTCTTATTATGTTGTTTATTAATTCAGATATCCACTCTTCCATTTTCTATATACTGTCTTTAAGAGAAGATTTAATCTACTAGGGTCTCCTTTGCATACTCACAGTCCAATCATGACATCCAATATTGAAAAATGCAGATTTCAAGAATTTCTTCCATTTTTCATGAAAATGATGACATCTGATGACAGACTATTGGTGGAAGATCTATATATGAGTGAAATTAGTGCTACCTGCAGCCAACAACATATGGAACACACTACTGCTGCACTGTGTCACACAGTATCATTATGTTTTTATTGTAGAGAGAGATACAGGGAGATTCTTACCTTTGTTGATCAGTTCACAGCGCCCAGTGCACTGCCAGCTGCGAGGCGCATATGAGTGTTGCCAATGGATCAATATGTCTGTTGGCCGATAGTATTTGGACTGAAGTAGTTACAATTCACAGATCATAGGAGGTGCTGAAAATGCCATCCCTCTACATGTATATACCTTGCACCAATGGAAGAGGTTCTGATTTACCCTTTGAAACTCTTCTGCAGGATTATTTGCAGTTTGCCCCGCAAATATTTTCTTTTAGTTATTCTTCATTTGTGGGTTACTGTTGTAAACTTTGTCCATCAAACAACTCCAGAAGAAAAAATGACGCACTGAGATTGGGTGAATGTTCTGGCTAAATGTCACTGCTGATAATTCTGTCCCTGAATACATTGGACAAAGCTTTCATAAATTCATTAAGAAATGCAGGTCAAGAAATACTTCTTGCACTTATAGTACAACAGACACCAACGTCCATTGGATGGAGCAGGACTTTGTGGGTTAGGTGTGAATTCTGTGAACTCCAGTAGCGATTGTTTTGTGTATTTATGTATCCCTGCACGTGAAACCACACTTCGTTAGAAAGAATGTCAATTGCAGATTGATCTCACCTTCAACAACACACTGCAGAAACCAGCTGTGAAAATGAACCCTGTAGCTGGTTCATATGGTTGAAAGGCCCGGATTACTGCTCTTCTATAGGGTCTGAGCTTCAGCAGTTGTGTTGCGCTTCTTGTACTAGACTTTGACAATCCACTATCTTGAAGTAGACATTTCGGTGATTTTCTAGGTGCATGTTCATGTCTGGCTCCTGTGGTACCAAACTGTGAATTGTTTGTCTGCTTGGAACTCTTTCATCACACAATTTTTGCCAACATTTTCTAGCAGATCCATATTTCACGTAGGTGTCATACAGAAATACACGTTGCTCTGAAGTATACTGCACCATGACAGAAAACACTGCTCACTAATCATAACTAGAACAAACGGCTAGTTGAGCTGGTAACTGCTGTCACCTGCTCGCAAATCAGAAACAAATTACCACGCTTGAATCTTGCTGCTTGTTCTGAAACAAAATGCTGTCAAGTGGTCCCCAAAGTTAATAACTTCCCCTAATTCCAAACATTATTGGTCGTCAGGCATACTGATTCATTGGCAAAATTTGTATGTGCCTTGCAGCTGGTGGTGCACTGGTCACCATGAAGTGCAGATCCATGAACTGGTCAACAAAGATAAGCACCTCCAAATATAATGACTGAATAAAAAAATTCTGTATTTATCACACTTCAAGTTATTGTATGAACATGTATCCTTTCCTTTGAGCAGCTGGACTTGGTGAATTTAGGATCCGTGATTTGAATGATGAGATAAACAAACTTCTCCGTGAAAAGGGTGATTGGGAGAGACAGATACGAGAACTTGGAGGCCCCGATTATGCTAAAGTGGGACCTCGTATGTTGGATCACGAGGGCAAGGAAGTTCCTGGGAATCGTGGTTACAAATACTTTGGAGCAGCCAAAGATTTGCCAGGTAAGTTGAATATTTGACTAACTGGCAGAGGGTTTCATTTTGTGACTTGCATGCCTTTAACAAAATATAGTGAAGGAAACTCAGTATAGAGATGTGCAGGGGCAACAAAGGTCCTGATGTTCAGAAGAGCATACATTACCTTTGAAATGTGATTTCAACGTATGTTTGCAAGCTTGCAGAGCTCATATGAAATTTTCTTCATTTCTCCTGTCTGCATGCACAAAGTAACTCGGGAACTGCTGAACAGATGTTTATGATTCATATTATGAAGTTCTACTTAAATTTGTCATCATTTACCAATATGTTTTCTGCACTCATATTCAGAGTTACTCATGAATATTTATTTAAGTGAAAAAATGTTCTGAACAAAATTTGTAGAAAGAAAAGAATTTTTTAGTCATGCTGCCCAAGATGTCTGTCATCAGTTGTAACAGGTAAATCTACAATAAAACAGATCCTTCAGTTGTTCCAGCAGAAGATATTTAACACTTTGTGGACTGCGCACCCTTTAAAAGGTTTTTCGCTTTTAAACATGGCGGACCGCTCGCCTGTTAACAGGCTTTTAAAACACGATAAGTTGCAACACACTATACATCTCTTTGGCGCCACCCAAGTTGCATGTAATGGCATAATAAAACTCTGGAATATTCGCTTACTTCTCAGTAAGTTGATCTCGCTGTTTTCTTAAGCCACTATAAGCGATAATGCTTTGTTGCTCTTCAAGCTGCATGTATCAGCCAGTAGTTAGTGTTGGGGTATGGACAAGGACAAATTCTTTTCCGATGAGCCAGCTGACCTGCCTTGTGAGATGCGTAGTTATGGTGTTTGAGAGAGCAGCAGTGACAGGGGAGAGTTAAGAATTGTGAAAAGTGACCGTAGCTCCGACGATAATGGGGGTAATAACATTGCGGTGACTAACATTGCGGGGATAGTAAAAAATTTAAAAAATCACAAAAATCTAAACCCTGATTCGAAATTGAAATACAAAGCGTTTCTGATGAATGTGGCAAAGCCCTGGGCTACAGACCAGATGGTGGCGGCAGAACCAGAGTCAGACACAGACTTATTGCGACCGTGTCCATCCAATCCAACCCCAACGCAAGCCTCATGTGGATCCCACAGGGCGACTCTCGGGTGATATGCAGAAACATACCCTCGTGAAAATTGTGAAGAGTGAACATTCCAAGGGGAAGCATCTTTCTAGGCAATGCTGTGTTTCCACAGTTAACAAAAAAAGGAGCATGTCTACATTTGCAAGTTCTCTGTAATGCCACTTCACAAAGGGGAATGTTTCCAGAAATATCACACTC